TACCAAAAGTTCCCCCAGTTTGCCCCCCCCCCCAAAGAAAACAAACTGTTAGTTGTCCATCACTCACTACTCCAACACACTGACAAAAAAACAGCTAGGAGAAGTGATTTTTATAGGGAGGGGCCTAGAACATTTATCAACTGCCATTATTGACTATAATATGCCACCTAACCAAAGTTCACAGGTCAGACAATGCATTATGGAGGTTTGCTTTCGGCTCTTAGGTGAACACTCCCAAAAGTTCACCTGTCAGTTAAAACGGCTTACAGGTAAAGTTTTATGCAAATCCTGTGTGACAGCGAACCCCATACCTAATCAGCAGCATTGAAATGCAACAAATAAAAGATGAAAATTTTATTTTATTGGTAAAAAATACAATTATTTAAGATTCACAGTGCTGTAACAAAGAAAGATGTCTTCATCTTAAGCTTTTCATTTACTTTAATGAGCACTCTGAGAACAACTACAATAAGAAACAAGTACGCAATGACACATAAGAATAGTGACAGCATTTTGAACTCTACAATGGATATAAAGTTTGGACTCTGGTGACCTCTTAAAGAAATTCTCATGGCATACCTGAGTGGATACATACAGCAAGAAATACCATGCCATGGCACAGACAGAGAGTCTGGAGTTTAGGAAAAGCTCTGATAACCTCCACATCACTACTGTATCCTGTAATAAGGGAAAGTCATTGTGAGGAACTACTGTGTGTTGCAGGGGACCTAGGAGATTGTCACTCCCAAATTCGGGACAAGTGTTTGGTGGTGTAGGCAGTAGGAAAAGTATTCCTTTGCGTCCTTGCTGGTATGGCTTTTTAAACAATACTTTGAATAACCAACAGAGTTGCTTTAAGGAGGCCCTATTCTTAAATGTGAACAAAAGCAATGTAAGAATAAGTCATTTCACACAGAAATTAGTCTTCAGTTTTATTACTTTTGCATATCTATCCATCTGCCTTAGATATTTTTGTGCACTTGTACATTATTACAGATATTCACCATTTATTCATTTTTAATATGTCTGAAATTAGATGCTGTTTTTCCTTATTAATCTTGAACAAAAATAGAGTTATGAAAAAATGGATACTAATAGACATGCTCACTAGGATAGCTTAGATATGACTGACAGCTACATGATAAAAAATATAGATAGCTTGATAGATAGATAGATAGATAGATAGATAGATAGATAGATAGATAGATAGTAAAATAGACACTGCTCAAGTTGCAATATGTCAAATACATATTCTGCTGTTCAAACCTATATACAAAATAGTTATTTAAGCATATACATTGCATTGATTAAGTAATACTGTACCTTAAAGGACGTGTAAAATGATGGCCATTCATTTTCCTCTGCCACATCTGTAGCAGAAATTGTTGATGTGCAAGTTGCGATAATTAAATCCAGTCTTTCCGTGCTTCTGTTTGAATCAGTGCTTGCTTCTGTAAAACTAACTTGCATTGTGAGGTCTGACTGTGCAGCAGATAACCACTGCTCTTCTTTGGTATGAATCAGAGAAAGCAAAAACAAAAATGGGAGCACAGCTTCCTTGCTCCACCAATGACTAACTGAAGCATATGGCTTTAGAACAGCTTCATTTGAGCAGAAACGGTAGTCCCCCTTCAAGCTGCATTCATCACTGACAGTACACTGTGTGATGAAAAAAAAGATAGAGATGTATTCTCACACAGCAGCAAACATTGGTAGCCACATGAAATGCAGCATCTTATTCTCTGATCACATATCACATTGCTGTGTAAATGTTACTGAATTATAATTTTACAAGCAGGCACTCCAGCCCAAACTTTTTTTGGGGGAACGTAAGAATAAACTCTGTCAACTTTTTGTAGACACTTGTGTCCCAGTTGAAGAGCTTATAAGAATATTTATCTTAAGAAGAAAGTGACCCCTTTATTTATTCAGTTCAGCATCTCAAAAAGAGTAAAAAGGGCTAAAAATTAACTTAGTAATGTAAAAAGTGGTATCAAAAGGTCAACAAAAAAGTAGACAAAGCTACAAAAATGCAAAGGGAGACAATATGATAATCTAAAAAAAATGACTGAATAAATAGTATACATTCTGAGAGGATTTGCAAGGGAAGATGAGGTAATGGTCATATATTTATTATTTATAGAGAGGATCAATAATAGATTTAGGGACGTTTGGGTTTAGGGCCATCAGTAGAATTTTTCTATTAAATTAAAAGGTTTAAAATAAAACAATTCTTAAGTATTACTACTGTTTGGGCCCTTTCCTTTTTGACAGACTGCAGTATAATATTTTAAGTCAGGAGTTTGCTGACCATGTCCCTTGAATAAGAAGAAACCACTATATACTACGTATTATTTATTAGAAATTGTCCAAACAAGAGTGAGCATAGTTACCCAACTGATATTGTGAGTAAGCAAAATGTGGTTTCACTCTAAATTGGTGCCCTTTGGAGTTTTTTTATTCTTCAGATAATAGTTCTAGTTCCTAAAAAAAATTATGAATTCTATTCATGTTCCAAATTGTTTAAAGCTGAACTTGACGATGGCATTCAATATACAGTATATATGAGAGCTTGGTTACCTGCTAAAATGATTTGCATTCTGTCCATCCAGTCCTGAGATTTACACAGCTCAGGGCAACAACAGTTCTGCCTGGCAGGGAGAGGAGACCTGATATTTCTGCTCTGTAGTTGCACTTTTATTAACAGGTCTCCTACCTATTCCAATCCTGTGACTGGACAGTTAATTGAGGAAGCAGCACACTGACGAGCATATATCTCTGTCACTCTGATCTCTCCTCCGATCAGCTTGCTCCGTGTACTGCAACACACACAACTGAATTCTATTGAACCTCTTCCTCCCTCACTCTACAGTGACTAATACCAAGTCAAATTCAAGTACTTATTTACTTTTAAGAACAACACATTTAAAGCATGATTTATGAATTACAGAGCTGCATTAATTTATATATGTTATACCTGCCTGAAATTAAGGTTTAACTGTGCTGTGAAAAATATTTTCCCTTTGACTTTGGCAGTGAATTCAAATGCTATTTTTTAAAAATATTTTGTTAAAAACATATCTGAAGGGAGAAATGTCCATGCTGTTTATAACATGCAATCTAATTTTATATTTTTAATTTTACATTTACTCATCTGTTTATTCTTAGAGAATAAACAAATATGAATGATGGGAGTGAACAATAAGTTTCAACAGTTCATCTATCAGATGATAAATAAGGTTGGCTAAGGAAACTAGTTGGGTCTCTGTCTGCTCTGTCTTAATCTCCCTGGTGGTATTCCCGAGTGTGGCTCGGGGTTAATTTTCAGTACCAAAAGCGGTAACCCCGAGGCACACTCGGGATTGCACAAAAGTGTGTCAGGGTACCATGCACAGGCGTCCTCACACCACATGCAGGTACCCACGCAGGATGACCAAATTAATATTTATTTATAATTATTTATTATATTATAATTTATGATTTTGTGTTTCAAACTTTATCATACCCGGGATGTCTGCTGGACTCTTGTTTGGACTGATTTAGGTGAGTTATTCCTAAGATTTACTAAGAATTACAGGCCTACAATATAAAACAACAAATTGCCATGAAAAACAATGTACCGCTTTGGCATGCAAAAATACTGCATCATACCGCCAGGCAGGTTAATGGCAAGCCAACTTCCCTTCATGCAAGCACTGACTGAAACAAGAGAAAACTGGTTACTGAATTATTCCATGCAAAACACTAAAGAGCAAATTTTTGAAACATGAATAATGTCAGTTGTCTGCTACATTTAAATAATGACTGAACAATTAACAAGGATGCTGGAAAAATTGTTAACTGGTCAAACATGTAAACAGATAGGCCATATTTTCAGAAGAAGGCAATATATATTTGAAGAAACGGGCAAACATACATGCTGAAACCGATCTGGAGAATTTAGAGAAAAGGGTGGAAGTGGAAAAGTTATCCAATAAACAATGAACATGCTTATATAAGTACAACAAGTAAACATGTGGACCTAAGATATTGACCAGTAGTGATTAGTGAACCAAACAAAGTTTGGTTCACTGGACATTCACCGAAAACTTTAAAAAGTTTGGACATTGAGCTTGAAGTCTAAGGGAGTAGAGACTTGTAATTTATTTTCTGCCTTTTTCAAGTCCAATTTGCAAGAGTTTAGTAAAAACAGTTTGGTACAGGTAGATGGGCATTGCCATGGGGGCCATGTACCTATGCAAAAACAGTTTTTAAAATACTGTTCAAGAAGAATCAGGCCTTTAAATAAGGCTGTAGGATATACTCCAGCAATAATGAAAAGAAATTATTTAAAAGAAAAAAATGGATAAATGAATTCTGGCCTGTCTTTGTTTGTAAATAAAGCTGCTGTGGGATCCTGGGTCATGACCATATGTTTTCAATGATATCAGCCAGATTCTCTGATACTGCTGTTTACATGTGTAATTCTCAGCATGATAATGCTTAGCTTGCTTGGTCATGTATTGGGGGAAGATATCTGAGAACCCATTTATTTTAACCCTTTCACTGCCACTGACATTAATCTCACATTGAAACAGAACCACTTCCAGCTTGCCAGGTCAGCAAACCTTACACTGACTGCATTCCCTTCTGCTACAAGTAAATGGTCACATCAGCAACCATGAACATATAGCAGAAAACTGTTCTCTAGACCCTGATGACCATTGAATAGCAGTGATCAGTGGCTGGCAAGCCACTGATTGCAGCTATTCATAATAAAAATGCCACAACTGCTGTTACCGCTACCTGCATGGTGCCATCCGCCTGCTGTTTTGCCCCGGCCATTACCACCAATGAGACTGCAGTCTTGGGTTTATGCCTTAGGTCTTATGGCCATATTTGGTGTTCAGGATAGAGAGCAGGGAGGTCAGTAAACATGATTTAACTAAAATACACTAAAATGCTGTTCTAGATTGTTCACTTTTCCTGACTTCTCCAAACTCTTCACCCTTTTGTGAATAGCCCTGCAAGTCTATGGGTCTGTTGATAAAACCCTCCCCCCACTCAGAAACATTGTGCTCCTACAGTATGTGATCGATATCTCTAGATTTGCTAAGTAGAAATGCTGAGTTGCTTAGAGTTGCTAAATAGAAATTAGTTATTGAGGTGATATTCACAGCGCCCTCTACTGGCCAATCTACAAATCACTATATTTAAGACAATGCCAAAAATATGGTGGAGTAGACAAATAGTTATGAAGAAGATATAAGAATTTGCTGGCACATTTGCTAATAAATAGTTATAGCAAATGACACCCAAACCTGCATTTCATACTTACATTTACACCATTTATCATAGGGTGCATATGCTCCAGATGATTATAATAGCTGATGAATGTAACAGCTAACATATGTAACCTCTATGGGCAAAACTACTAGCTTGAACTCTCCATAGTGCTGAAAGTGTTTTTACAAAGCTTCCGCACTTGAAGGCTTAAATTTAGGAAACTGTGATAAATCTATAAAACAAAAGCCCCCCCCCTTCAGAAATTAGGGTGGTATTCTCATGGCAAAGGGTAGAAAGCATGCTGCCCCTCCAGCCATGTTGCTATCAGCATATGTGACATTCACAGTTGGGAGAGCTGCTTCTGAGGGGTTCCCTTAAAAAAGTGGCATTCCTCTGAAACCACCTGTGATGGTTGCTGATGGGAAACAGACTCTTTGGCACCCCCAGTGCCCAAAAAGAAGGAGCCTGTTTGAAGGGGAACCTTATGTGCCACTTACAATATCTTTCCTGATTGGGTGGGTGAGGTGGATCCCAGAACTGAGTTGGTTTTTATGTGTGCAATGAACTCTGGGGAAATGTCTTTCTTGTTTCTTGTGACCCCCTAATTTGTCAGGGAGGAATTACCACCTACTTGACTGTGTTTAAATTAACTTACAGGTATCCTGTGCTCCCTTCGACCACCCTCCCTCTATCTTCATGCACATGTGCTATTGATTATCTTTTAAAACTAAGCAAATGACTGGCACCAAACATTCTGAACATCCTAAAAACAAAATGTTACCCTGTGAGGGACATTTTTTATCAAGTAAGTGGGTATTGGACATTCATAATGTCACTGTTGAGTTGCTGAAGAGCCATATTTCCTTGAACTATGTCTGTGTGGTTACCAATTACCAATTTAGCATTTTTTCAAAAAAACTGTTTACAAAACATGGTAGTCAAAGGTCAGATTACACACAGAGATAAAAGCATCAAAAAGTGATCTGCCCCGCATAGGCTATAATTCCATTATTAAAAAAATATAATTAACAAATCAAAATAAAAAATATATTAGCTCTTTTCTACATTTTTTTCATTTGTCAGCCAAAAGTTTAAAAACAGAAGAAATTGAATGTTTCCGTGTACTGATTAAAAGCCTTAAATGATCTTAAAAAAATTAAAAATCATTTAGTTAGGCAAATTAGAATTTAGAACATTAGAAACTGAATAAAATCGCCACTTCTTCTTCTGTCCATGCTCTGATGTCTCTACCTGCCTGAAAGCTATATATTTTCTATTTATGTGCT